TTTTTTTTTTTTTTTTTTTTTTTTTTTTTTTTTTTTTTGTCTTTTTTCCGTGTCCGGCAACGGATCGCAACCCTCAGTGTTGCCCCCGTACCGGACCGGGGACCGGCAACGGGATTGCAAGCCTCGGCGTTGCTCCCCTGCCTCGCTCAGCCAGCGAGCTGGAACCGGTCTGTATGTGGGATCTGAACCCTCGGGTGGGAGCGCCGCCGCGCTTCCCAAGCGGCGCACCATCCAGTGCACCACCGGGCCGGCCCGGAAGTCTGGGTGTTCTAAAGGGGATTCCTTACATTTAATCCAGCCAAAACAATCTTGTGATTACAAGAAATAGGACAGATATAAATCTAACACCAGAGCTTATACCTCTAGCAAATGGGTTGCTGTAGACTGGATCCCCTCCCCACCCCCAACCTCACTGAAGCTTAATCCTCACTGTAACTGTTGAGGGTGGGAAATATTATTATGGTAATTGGAAGGTGGGGACTTGAAGAGGTGATTAGGTTGTAGGATCACGCAGTAATGAATGGATTAAAAATGGTGGTCAGGGGCGTGATTCTGAGGGCTTTAAAAGAGGAGAGGAGAGTCTGTCTTGCTCTTGCTCTCTACTGTCTCTGTTCCACCAGTTTGCAATAGGGTATATATACCCTGTCATCAAGTCACCACCAAAGAAAGCCTTCACCAGGGGCCGGCCCATGGCTCCCTTGGGAGAGTGTGGTGTTGGTAACACCAAGGCCACGGGNAACCCGTGGCCTTGGTGTTATCAGCACCACACTCTCCCGAGTGAGCCATAGGCCGGCCCTCTTACTGGTCATCTTTAAAAAAAAAAAAAAATACTATAGAGGTTCTGATCAAGATGGCAGAATAGACGGTTCCCAGCATCACTCCACAAATCAACCAATTTACAATGACAAAAATGTAACATCAGCCAAGCTGGGACTGCTGGAGCTCAGGAGAAGAGGACGAGAGACCTACGGAGTTCATGAAGGTGAGAGAAACCATGCTGAGAGCAAAAGCTGCTCTGAGCATTTCGGGCCATGGCTACTTTAAGGCTCGAGCTGATGAGCACATGGAGCAGGAGCTGGTAGAAGCCGCAGCTGTGCCCTTCAGATGGAGTTACTCAGGGGCGGCAGGGGAGAAGAGGGTCTTGGCAGCCCCCAGGACAGCAAGACCACTAATAGGGTTCCCATGGACCCATGCAGGAGCTAGGAGCCAAAACAACTGAAAGAAGGGAGCCATTCAGAGACTGGTGAGTCATCGCAAGGGACCGGCACAGGACCCGTCCCATAGGAAGTGTTTGGAGCATGGGCGGTAGGGGAGACAGGCCCACCAGGAGAACACTGGGACACAGCGAGGATAGCTGTCCCACCCCCCAATCAGCGCACGACCACTCAAAGGACACTGGTCGGGAATGCAGAACTGCATGGGGTGCAGTTTGATGAGAAAACTCAGGTCCAGATCAGAGTTTCTACACAACCCAGATCCACCAGGTGTCTGAAGAGCTGGAAGTACCTAAGGTCAACCATTAAACCCTGAGCTGCACAAAAAGCCTTCCCTAGGGAAACAGCAGCAAAGCAGCAATTTAGCTCAACCACACAGCTTAAGTACTGGTTCCCATAGGAAGTTCCCCTGTTTTAGAAGTAAGCAAGGGACAAAAAAATTAGTTCTGGCCCAGGCATACCACCACTGCCTTGGGGCCTGCCTGGGAACTGGAGGTTTGGAGTCAGGGACTTGACCCCACTCCCACATCCAGGCACACTGCACCAGCACCTCAGGGCCCACCTGGGGACCCGCGGTATGGAGCCAGGAACTAGACACACCTCACAACCAGGCACACTGCCACCACCAAGGAGCATGCCAAAAACATCACCTCCATGTGGGTGACCCACCACAGCCACCACAATAACCATGGCTGCTGCAAAAGCGGCTAGACGTCACAACCACCACACAGATGGTCCGCCAACAACTCGAGTGCATTGACACAAGGAAAGTCACCAGCAGAGAAAAAGGAAAGAGGATGTCTCTCTCCACAAAGCCCATTTCAGAGTGAGTGACAGAAACATCTGCTCTGTGATAATAGTGGGGGACCTGATCACACCTCTCAGCATTGGACAGATCATCTAGGCAACAAATCAACAGAGTAACCATTATTCTTTCAGAAGGAGAGAAGAAATCAAAGGTAATTAGAAAGGGGAGGGGGAAGAGAGTGGGAATTGGGGAGAGATTGGACAAGGGGCATAAAGAATAATTATGGTTTGTAACAATATATATGCTAGTAATATTGATTTGACCAACATATCTCAATGTTGAACTCAAAAAATATGTATAATCAATTTTCATTCAATAAAACAATTTTAAAAAACCCAACCATCTACTGTTGATTTAAAAAATAATAATAAATATATTTAGTATTGTCAACAGTGTTTAGCCTTAGTGGGAGAAATGCTAAATAAAATAGCTTTGTGTGAGCCAGGCTTAACTGTTTTTTTTGTTTGTTTTTTTTTTTGCAAAATAGCTTTGTGTGAGCCAGGCTTAACTGTTTTTTTTGTTTGTTTGTTTGTTTTTTTAAAAGATGACCGGTAAGGGGTTCTTAACCCTTGACTTGGTGTTGTCAGCACCATGCTCTCCCAAGTGAGCCACGGGCCGGCCCCGTGGTGTTGACTTGGTGTTGTCAGCACCATGCTCTCCCAAGTGAGCCACGGGCCAGCCATGCCTATACAGGGATCCAAACCCGTGGCCTTGGTGTCATCAGCACCGCACTCTCCCAAGTGAGCCACGGGCCGGCCCCGTGGTGTTGACTTGGTGTTGTCAGCACCACGCTCAGCCAGTGAGCGAACCGGCCATCCCTATATG